CAGGTCGGGGTCTCCCTGTCAGGTCGGGGGTCTCCCTGTCAGGAGATCAGGGCTTGGCACGAAAACGCCGCATCGGAGCTTCTCAGTGGTGTCAGACACTTGGAGCCCTCGGGCGAGACGGGCCATGTCTGTGGCCACTTGCCTTAGGACAACCCGGGGCTCGCGACCCCCACCCCTGGCTCAGCCAGCGAAGCGCCTCATCGTCGGGACCCCGGTGATGTTCCCCTGCGTCTGTGTCCCCAGGAGCAGAGCCTGGCGCCCGTGACTTCTGCGGACCCCGTCTTTCAAGTTCCGATTTCAAAGGCGGTTCAGCTGACCACGGACGACGCCGTGAAGTGCACACTGCTGCTGGAGCTGGACATCTCGGTGAGCGCCCTCGGGCCCGAGGTGTCTGTGGAGGCGGCAGCGCTTGGCAGGGAGGCCGGGGTGTCTGGCCGTGAGAGCGGCGTGGCTGCCCTGTGCAGTCGCCCGTGGGGTGGCGGGGCCCGACGACCGCGTGCGCCCTGGGGAGCGGCTGCGGGGCTCTTCCCTGCGAACCCGAGATGGCCCCTTCTGGGCGTGTTACCTGCAGTTCGGGGGGTGCTCGGTGCCGCCAGAGCCTCTCGCCACCCCGCCCCCATCAAGCCGTGGGCGCAGGTCAGACTGGCCGATGACCCTGAGCTGCGGGCATCTGCTCGGGGCCCTGTCCCCCTTTGCTGTGGGGGCGCTCAGAGAAGGGCGGTGGGGAGGCCGCTCCGTGAGTGCTCTGGGCGCGGCCGTGTCTCCTGGCCGTCCGTGTCCTGCACTGCTGTCAGGACAGCGCGGGGACTCACGGTTTGGGGCCGCCCATGCCGCGACCCGGCCGGCGGCCTCGTGTTTCCGTGGCTCAAGCTCAGCGAGGAGAGCGACAGCGTCCTCTCACCCCCAACCCCCGCCCCCAGAGGGGTAGTGACCACACGAGACTGGGCGCCCGGCGGACAGCGTGGTTCCGGTCTCTGCGCGCGGCCTGAGTGTGGCGCTTGCATGCCGCAGTGACCCCGCCCGGGGGCTCCTTGCCCTGGAGGGCGGGGTGTGGGGGGCTTTGGGTCGGGTCTGCACGGATACTCGCGCGTCCAGGGTGGACACGGGTAACTGTCCCACTGGGCCGTTTTTAGTTTGGTTTCTGTGCAGTCGGCGATGTCATCTTTCAAATTCGTAAAACCAATTTTGTGGCAGCTGAAACTAGGTCACACGCGGCCTCCTGGTGTGTTGCTTCTCTTCCAGAAAACGGGCTTCTCCTACCAGCCCGGCGACGCCTTTGACGTCATCTGTGCCAACAGCGACACGGAGGTGCAGGGCCTGCTCCAGAGGCTGGGGCTGGCGGGCCGCGGGGGACACCTCGTGCACGTGGACGTCCGGGCCGGCACCAGGAAGAAAGGTCAGCGCGCGCCTGGCGCTCTCGGTGCGGCTGGCCCAAGGTGCAGCTGGCAGCGT